CAAAATGTGAGAAGTACTATTATTGTGTTATCTATCCCTCGTAAGGCAAATTGACATCTTCCTGAAGTAATATAGTTATGCTGACGTGGTTTATGTGAGCACGTGTGTTATATTTTAAATATTTTATTCGTTTCGCTATTTGTTTTAAAAAAGTAAAATGTTTCGAGATTTTCCTTTCATTTTATTGAGTGTTTTTCGCATTTTTTAATAGAATAGACTCCAAAACTACTAGACGGATTTGAAAAATTCCTTTATCATTATTAGCCTTAATTATCCCTCATTAACATAAGCAAAGGTGAAACATGGTGTAATGGTTGCAGCTCCTTACAAATATTGTGTAAAACACAAAACCAGCGATTAAGAAGAGTGGTGGAGAGTTTATTGCCAGTTCTTCTCGTCCCTTTTACGTCCTTAATTTGATAACTGGCAGTAAATGTAAAATTAGAAGCATTTAATACGTATTTCTTTATTGACGTGCATAAGTATATATTGTGTTACCTAAGTGAAAGTGATTTTGAATTTGAAATAAATTTTTTGAAAAAACTAAGGCTTCGTATGAAAACTTATATAATGTAAGCCTATATATATGTCGTGGCCATATCGTAGATTAGCTCAATTCATGAGATGTTCGAGAATTTCATGAAATGGTTACATTTCATGAAATGTTTCATTGTCTATTGGCCACATCGTGAGGTGGTTTGGGCAGATCAATGATAAGAAATCGTTTCTCGATATGGGCAACTAAACGCGCGGCTTCTTCATGAAATGGTCAATTATTTGATCATATCGTAAAGTAGTTACATTAATTACCGGTAGAGGCGCTGCAAACGCTTTGTTTATGTGTGAAGATGGCGGCCGCTGTCGATAATGTTGTTTCTCGCAGTGAAAAAGTGAATAATTCGTTAATAAATGACGAAGAAATTGATAGTAAAAGAGTTTACGACGAAAAGGTTCTCGAGTACTATGCAAGTCACGCAAAAACTGAGCAAAATGTAAAAAAACCGTGGAGTTTGGATCGCATTTCACAGGTTAGTATTTTACTCTTAAATTACATAAATATTCACTTATTTTATCAAAATACTCTATGCCAGCTAACGTATTGTGTATTAATTGATATTATGTAAGTTTGTGAATTATGACCTATTAAAGTTAATGTTTTTTTTTCCTTTTTTAGGTTATGAAACAAATTAAGGAGAGTAGGGTGACTACGCAAAATAAGTCCATAGACTATTACTGGTTTTCAAAATATGATATTTTGGAAACTGCGAATGAGGAATATCTTATATTCAAGAAAAAATGCGTCGACGATCATACGATTCGCATAATTCCGATGGAGAAGTATTTTGAAATATTAAAGGAAGTACATAAAACTGTTGGACATGGTGGACGATTAAAAATTATTCAACACATTAAAAATAGGCTTTATATTCCGAAGAAACCCATCGAGCTATTCGTTGACCTGTGCTCTGTTTGTCAGAAGAAACGTGCAGTGCCAAAGAAAGGTATAGTAACTCAGCCGATAATTTCTAAAGATTTTAACACACGAGGGCAGGTGGATTTAATAGATTTACAGTCTGCCGCGGATGGAGAATTTAAATGGCTTATAAATTACCAAGATCATGCCACAAAATTTTTACACCTCAGACCTCTAAAGTCGAAAAGAGCTGCAGAAGTAGCCTTGGAACTTTTAAAAATATTCTTGGAATTTGGCGCTCCGTTTATATTACAGAGTGATAATGGAAGAGAGTTCACCGCGCATGTCATAGAAGAATTGGTGTCGATGTGGCCTGAATGCAAAATTATTCACGGTAGTCCTCGACGTCCTCAAACACAGGGCAGCGTGGAAAGATCCAACCAAGACGTAGAAAATATGTTGCGGTGTTGGATGCAAGATAATAAGTCTACTAAATGGTCTATTGGTTGTTTTTTTTGTTCAATTCTATAAAAACTCTTCTTACCACCGCATAATTGGGTTCTGGAACAATTAAAAATTGGTTTTCTCGGCAAGACCTACAGGTGTCGTCTAAAGATTATTGCGATTATATCAGAATTGCCAATATCATTGAGGGAAGCTGTAAATTTCCAATCTTTGTTTGGAGGTCAAGGCTTTAAAAAATGCTTTTGTAAGCCAGCAAAAAACCAATGCCGTACAAAGAGATGCATGTTTCAAGAACAAAACACTTTGTACTTTAAAGTGTCACCAAAGTTTGTCATGCGCCAACAAATGACTGAAAGGTTGTAACACTGACTTTTTAAATTTTTATTCATTTATTGTGCATTCCATGTGAATTATTATACATATTACTTTTTGTAACTATGTACCAAAGTACCTACTTATTTCTAAATATTTGTTTGTTTTCTAAAAATAATTGTGTAACATGACGTGTTTGATGTTTAATTTTGTTACAAAAATTTAATTAATTTTGTTTGTATCAGTCGGACTTAAATAACAATAAACAAGTTCTTAACATATTCTGGATTTTTATTAAATATTTTATGGACACCCTATTTATACGATCCGGCCAAATGTGGATGAAAAAATCGTGAAATGTTGACGATTTAATGGTCTGGTCAAATTAAGTTGCCCTCATCATGAAATACGACCATTTCATGAAATTCTCGAGCATTTCATGAAGTGAGCAAATCTAGGATATGGCCACGACATATATATGCGGAAACTATTGTCATTATAACAAAGTAATGTACTACAGTTTTATACAAGACATCAATATCTACAACAACTTCTAAGATACTATGTCTTATTATAAGTATCCAGCTGTGCGTAAGCCATTACTGAACGCTAGTTAGAAATACAATAGAAAATTGCCTTATTACACCTTTTATCTTGAAACGTAAATTTAACGTTTATTAATGACATAAATAAATAAAAATAGATGCGTGGCGCTACAACCTTTTTAGATCTGGGCATCTGTATCTGTTTCATGATCATTTGTTAATTTAATAGGCAAGTAGGTGATCAGCCTGTGCCTGACACACCCCGTCGACTTTTTGGTCTAAGGCAAGCCAGTTTCCTCACGATGTTTTCCCTCACCGTTTGAGCGAATGTGAAATGCGCACATAGAAAGAATACCAAGACCTAAAGGGGTTGTAGCGCCACTGTTTTATTTATTTTTTAAGTATACAAATGGTGTCAACCCTGTTTATTCATGGACGCAACAAGCGAAACAAAAAAGTCCATCCAAAATCCATGAAATGAAATCCAAAGAAAAACACTTTTTTACCGGATTGAAGTTATGTATTATTATAAATTTACAATTATTTTACACAATTTTAAATTTAACCGACGTTTCGCGTGCTTTACAGCGTGCGTGGTCACGGTGACTGAAGACATCTTCAGTCACCGTTTTTCGTGTGTCGTCAAGTGTTTTTCTATGTGTAAAAGTCAATAAAAGACAATACAATGAAATCCATACAAACCACTTAAATAGGCGTCCTCCAGGAATGCCAATTTTCTCTTACACAAGCCACCTGGATCTAGTGCGGGCCAGCAGTTTACAGCAGTCCTCACATCGCATTTGGGGTCTTTTGTGTCGCTTGCCTTTCGGTCTTTTCGATGACGTGACTCATTTTGTCCATCTTGAAGCCTAGCCACCAGTCCCGCCTATTCCATTTTAATTTTTTGGCCTACTTGGCTTTTGTTGCCTCGTATTTTTTTCAGGACGCATACAAAACAAAAAATATTAAATACATATTACAAGAGTATAAATAATTCAATTCGAAGTTTCTTAGGACTTCTAACCAGAAAACTTGGTCTGGAAAGTCTTAAAAGGTTTTTAAACAATATTATAAGGTGACGAAAGGTCTAGAATAAGTTAGGGCTTTATAAAAACTTTATCAGTTAGTTGTTAGTAATGGATATTTGAAATACATTTATTTCAAATATTTGCAATTTCTACTTATATTTAATAACTTGAATTATTAAAGGCAAGGTACCTTAATAGCGTGGGCGATTATTAAGACCATAAGTTTGACAACAATAATAAACAACTTAACTTATTATATTATTTGACATTTGCATGCCTATTGTAATATGGCGGGTTTTTTATAATTAATCAGTCTATCTTACTAAAACGATTTATTTATAACTAAAGTAAGTAATATAATCACTAACAAAATAAAAACTTTATTAATTATACATATTCTATTGTTAAATTGTTGTACAGACTTTTGAAACATACAATAAAAAAACCCAATAAACCGAAAAACTTGGTTTATTTGTCTCTTGTATTATCATTGGTTATGAATTCTAGTGATTTTCAGTGGTTTGTAACGCGAGAATTTAACGAACCCAGAATTAGATGTTTGGCCTAGTGGCTTCAGCGTGCGACTCTCATCCCTGAGGTCGTAGATTCTCGAGCCTCGGCTGCACTAATGGACTTGCCGTCTATATGCGCATTAAACTCTCGAACGGTGATGGAAATCATCGTATGGAAAACGGCATATCCAAAAAATCTCGACGGTGCGGTTTCAGGCAGAAGGCACTTATCTGATTATTAAATAGATACATAAATCTGAGACCCAGACTTACTTACTTACTAATAAAACTTTGACTGAAGACAAAAGGTGTTGGATGTCAAAAAGTATCACAGTTGTAGAGAAAGTTGCATTATCTGTATTTATTTCCCCGGAGTTGGTATCGACTAAAAGATTAAGGTTTTGGCAAAAATGGCTCACGGTGTCCTCTATTTTTGCGGATTGTTTTTCTTGAGATTTCAATTTGGATATTTATTATTATATATTATTTATTATTATATTAAATTTAAAATTATGTTAAATAATTGTAAATTTATAATAATACATAACTTTAATCCGGTTAAAAAGTTTTTTCTTTAAATTATTTTCGTCAACTTGTGTTATCGATGTTATATATTAAAATACCTTTTACGTGTTTTTAATTAACTTTTAAATTTTATCTACTATTACTGAAGTACTCATTGTTGTAATAAAATATAGAAAAGGAATATTATTTTTCTTTTCAGATGCGAGCTAGAAGAAAAGTGGCTTTGACGGTGTTAGCGTTCGTGGTTGTTTTCGCGGCGTGTTTTCTTCCGACACATGTTTTTATGATGTGGTTCTATTACTGGTGAGTTTCTTTTCATATAGCATTCGAAATTTTAAACTTAGAATAAAATAACGTCGCTCATCTAGAAGCACGCTGTGCCCTGTGTTAATCACCAGGTGCGGAACTGCACGATTTGGATATTTCTTATAACATCAGCAAAGGAAACTCTTAAACTCCTTGCGCCCTTCCATATTCCCTAGATAGTATAATATAGGTTAATTTATGCGGCGGTTAAATAGGCACAGGTGCTTTCAAATAGGCATCTCACTTCCAAACGTGTAGTTCGGTATACAAAAGACAGTTTTCTACTGCCGCATTTTGTAATTGTAAAACAATTATCGCGCCTTGTTTGAATTTTCTATTAAAAAAAAATAGTTATTGTTAATTTGTACTTAATTTTGAGTATTATAATATTATTGTAATGTCGACGCTACGGTGGACGGATATTCTGACAAATTTGTTCCACCGTCACAAAAATATTTATAATAAATTTAAATTTAAAAAACGCGTACCAATTATCTAGAACGGAATATTCTGTTAAATTCATTGTCTAAATAGAAACAATGTTGATGTATTTCGGTGTTTTAATTATTGTTACGTAAATAGAAAAGGCTCTTCATTAAATTTACATGCCCCGAGCGAGCGTGTTTTTTGTTTCAATAAACAGTATGTCTAACAGTGAGTATTTATTTAAAATGTTTCACCCGATATATATTTTAAGGGCGTAAGTGAAATTGACAAAACATTCGTAGATTAAAGTCCTATTATATATGTCAACCATATTTAGCTTCATCATCGGACGTCTAGGCAGAATAGGAACTACCCGTATCACTTCGACGTCGTTCCAAAACTAAGGGTTTTTTTGCCGAGCACCACCACTGTCGAACCACTGACATATTTCCGAACCAATTTGACTTAGGAAATTCTAGAAAAAACTTACCAATTTTTAATAGGCCAACGCACTTGCGAGCCCTCTGGCAATGTTAGTATCTATGGTCGGTGGTATCACATCATATAAGCCTGCTCATTTGCCCCACTAAAAAAAACTATAATAATTTGGTAAAAGACACACATTTTCCGGATACCTCCTAGTTTAATGTTAATTAATCCCATCATCTTTTCTGGCCGAGCAGATACTACTTATTCCCAACGCTTATATGAAATTTCAATCATACCAAATTTACAGTTTATAACGCAACAGCCATTCTCTATCACGAAGAATTATTTTCATATTTAGACATCAACAACATACTTAACTGTTGTTTTTATAATCAGCTTACAAAACTAACCTATTTAGGTGCCGAAATTTTTCAGAAAAACACCTGGGATCATAGACAGCCTTCTCGCCTTTGTTATTGTCAATTGTATTAACACGTGTGAAATTCTTAGATTACATTTCCTGTAGGAAATTTTGCTCTCAGTTACTAATCGCACCATCGTCACCTATCTAATATATATATATATATATATATATATATATATATATATATATATATAACTAGTGGACCCCACAAACGTTGTCCTGCATGATATTTAAAGCGATTAGGATATTAAGCAAAGTATGAAAGTACCGACTGCAGTGCCATCTGCCGGGCTGATTTGTGAATCTAAACCATTCCTAGATCCCCTTGAACACACACAAAAAATTTCATCAAAATCGGTCCAGTCGTTTGAGAGAAGTTCAGTGACATACACACTCACAGAAGAATTATATATATAAAGATTATACAGTTTAAACTCTTTATAACGTCATTCGCTGTAACCTAAAAATCAATTAAATTTGCTTGATACATACCTTAACTCTTACTCTTCCCTCCCTATACCGAAACCTATAACTAAATAATAATGCTCGGTCCCTTGAAATACGTTATAAAGAGTTTACACTGTATTGATATATATTATAACCTCTTTTCGGACATGACAGTATTTTTTCTTTATTTTTCGTAGATTGTTCTTTTGTTCCACTTTTGCGTGTCCGTTTGCCAGGTTGCAAAGGCCTCCTCCAATCTTCTGCATTCTGGCGTCTCTATGGCCACCCCATGTTGTTCCCGCGACTTGTATAATGTCGTCGTCCCATCTTTTTTGTGGTCTACCTCTCTTTCTGTTTCCATCTCTTGGGTACCATTGTGTGTTTATTTAACTCCATTTGTCCTTTCCCCTGATCATGTGGCCTGCCCATTTCCCCTTTTGTCTTCTTATTTTCAAAGTTATGTCCTGTACCTTAGTCTTTCCTCTGATGTTGCTACTCCTTACTTTGTCTTTTCTTTTGATCCCAGTCATGCTCCTTTCCATGGCATGTTGACATACGGAGAGTTTATTTGTTACGTTTTTTGTTAAAGCCCACGTTTCGCTTCCGTAAGCCAGCACTGGCAGGATGCATGTGTTAAATAATTTGCTTTTCGTTGAATTGTGTAGGGTCGTGTCTTTCATTACTTCTTTTAGGCTCCAATATTTTTTCCAGCTGTTTACACTGTATATAAATTATTATTATAATTGGTTAAATTTGTTTTTTGACTCTTTTCCATTCCATTTCTTCCTTTCCATATAAGCAAAACTCTATATAACGGAAAAAAATGCTGAGTCCCTTGAAAATCGTTATAAAGAGCTGACACTGTAATAACATAATTGATTTATTAAATGACTTGCGATTTATTTTTATTGAATTTATTTCCTAGTCCAACAGCCCAAGAGGACTTCAACGCCTGGTGGTCAGCCCTACGTATAGTTGGGTTCTGCTTCTCATTCCTCAACAGTTGTGTCAACCCTATAGCCTTGTACTGCACTAGCGGCATATTTCGGAAACATTTTAACAGGTAAATATTATTTTATTTATATTATTTAGTTGAATTTATTTATACGTAATCTTACAGCTACACATATCCATATATTTGCGACACCAAGGATCAAAACCAGTCTGTTGCACAGATCCCCGTCATCAAAGACTTTGCGCCTACTGAATGCTGTCTCCGACACTATCGACATATTTATATGTTCGTAGAATGAATTCACAGTAGCGATATTGTGTATATTATGTGTTTAATATTATAAACTTCACTAGCTGCGAACTTCGTTTCTCCTTAATGTGATTTTAGTTAGCCTACCTTTTTAGTACATACTCGTAACAACATTGAACATTGCTATGCTTCCACAGAGACTGTTCGGTTTTCCGGAATGAAAATATTTTTGGTTGTTCAGTGAATTTTTCTTTATATATAAAGCTCAGAGTTCAAGTCAATAGTTTTAATAAACTAATAAAAAATAGGGGGATCGTAGAGAGGTGAAAATTAAAGGTTGTATGTATTTTTGTATGCTATTATCGTAATGTCAGAGACTATGCCATTACGATAATACGGATAATATATGTATTTATGTAATAAATAAATATTATCAAAGATTATACAATACACAAAGCCAAAGCATATTACATTAATAAACAAAATATGCGAAACATTTTAAGATAGAAATAAAACTGAAATTAAACATTAAACACGGCAAATTAATATTTTTAAGCTTTAATTACTACCGCTAAATAAAGTCAAGGTCTTCAAATATTTCCTCACATCCTCTTTGGTAAGGTGGATTTTCATTCATAGATCCAATTTGAAGCTAAAATAGGAGATTCATTCTTTTATCAGTCAAGTAAGCATTAAATCTCATAACCGACACGGACCGCTTGCGGAGGCTTTTAATTTAATTAAACATATTGTATGCCGTTCATAAAATTATCACTAACTACTCTACAAATTATATTTATAAATGTAACATATATTTTACAATTACAATTAAATAGAAAGACTTTAGTTAATAAGATAGGACAGAATTCAGTAATAACACCCAGTTTTGTTATTATAAAAGCATCGAACAACGCCGATACAAGTTATAAGTTTTCCTTCCGCGCGATTCCAGTTACGACATCAGTGCTACGGATATTGAGATAACTAGAGCCAAAAAGCGTTGGGAACGGTATAGCTTTAGTTATTCGAAGTTACAGAGTAAGCCTTGTTATGACTTCTATATGCTAATGTCAAACCCAAAGTATTGCGTGTTGTTCCCACGAGAATGTAAGTACGTGCTCCTATTTCACCATGCCACCTGCTGATAGAGGACAAATCTTTGTTTTTAATTTATTTTATTATTATTTATTACTTCAGATGTCATGTGGAACATGGTGTAATGGTTGCAGCTCCTTACAAACGTTGTGTAAAACAAAAAAAAACTTTTCGATTAAAAAGAGTGGCGGAGAGTTTATTTATACTTCTCTTCCGTTCTACGCCCTTGATTTGAGAACTAGTAAACAGTAAATGTAAAACTAGAAGCATTTTATGTATATTTCTTTTTTGACGTTCATGAAGTACATTGTGTTACCTATATGAATAAATGATTTTTGACTTTTGACTTTTGAAAAGGTTTGACAAAATCTCGTCTCCCCTCAACTAGTGTCTTTCAAGGACTCCAAAACTTATGTTATAGGTCGGTTATCGAAAGCTGGCGGGTTCACAGTACTCACACTAATGCAATTTCACATACAGTATGTTTCAAAATATGATTTTTTTGCCAAGCTATATATTTTAGTCCACTCTGGTTTTAGTAAGGTTGGGTGGGTTGTAAATAAATAAAAATGTGTCAAATACATATAAATATTAGGTGCATACGAGGGTGGATCATCTGGTTTATTCTCATTTATTTTTATTGCATTATTTTCTCTTTTATAATTCTAATGTTTTCCTTTAAATGTCGTGTACACTTGTCATTCAAGCACTGCTTTTACAACTTACTATCATTAATAAAAATATTATAAATACTCTACTTTTATAAAATGACTAGCTGACTCGGCAAACGTCGTTTTGCCATGTAAGTATATTATTTCTAGGAAACATTTTTTTAAGTTCAATAAAAATAACTATCTACTATAATACAAAATAGGGGTTGATCGTAGAAGGGTGAAAATTAGGAGTTGTATGTATTTTTGTATGCTGTATCATAAAAAAATAAAAACAAAAAAATATTGACCAAAAAATAAAAATAAAATATTTGGGGTGGACACCCCTTATCACTTAGGGGTATGAAAAATAGATAGAACCCCAATTCTCAGACCTACTGAATATGCATATAAAATTTGATAAAAATCGGTCAAGCCGTTTCGGAGGAGTATGGTAACTAACATTGTGACACGAGAATTTTATATATAAGATAATCACGCTCTTAATAAGGTTTAAGTTTCTATTTAGTTTTAGTTTATTTTCTTTTTCTGGGTGCTTCTGTTTAATTTTTTCTTTGCTAATTTGAAATTTTTATGATGTGTTAAATTTGAGAAGTCATGTTTTCCTATATATTTTAAGCATAATCATTCTCTGTGTGTTTCTGTATATGATTCGTTAGTGTGCATTTCAAAAATAAATAAATCTTACATAACTTCAACGCAATAAATTCGTATTTAATATCTCAAATCTTTTGTGATATTCCAACGGCTATAAATTTCATAGGGACATTAAACTGTTGGTTTTGACACGGTATTATTGGATTTACGGTTGGCGTTCGACGTGACTCCTACTTATTTCTCATTATTGCTTCGAAATATTTCATTCGGACCTAACAAATTCTCTAGCATCGCTCAAGCGCTTTATCTAATATAAAATAACCATTTTATGTAGACCTTCGAGCTAGTTACGAACCATCTCGATCACAGCAACGTTGACCAATCCCTTTCCGAGCGGCTTGATCCCTTGGAGTTGTGTAAAGATGTATCTCTGCATCTTCTTTTTACCACTGAGAATGTTCAGAGCACTTCATTAATACCTGCTTCGTGAGAGTGAGAGTTTTTTAAGACAATTTTTACCGCACGTCACCGCTATGTGGAACCAGCTGCCCACTGAAGTATTTACAAACTAATTCGACTTAAGGCCTCTAAAAAAGAGCGTAGCCGTTCTTAAAAGGCCAGCAACGCACTCGCAAGCCCTCTGGCATTGAAAGTATGGACGGTGGTATCACTTAACATCAGGGAATACCACTACCCGTTTGCCCGTTCGTCTGTTGCCCATTGCCACTTCTATTTTAGGGCATTCATAAAAATATATTATTATTTACAGATACCTCTTCTGCCGCACCCCACCAGCACATGGTACTCGAGGGTCACTATCATTGTCGACGTCTCGGAGATTACACTCAAGTCGGAAGACCAATATTAGCATGGCTCCAAGAACGTAAGTAATCTATGGTAAGAGTGGTACATGGTCGAGAGTGGTACAAAGATCTTAAAAGAATGAGATGAGATAGACATGTTTAAGTATCTGATATTAAAGTTTTTATTATTCTTAAGCCTTATGTAAAGTTAAAGGTAACGACGTTTTTATATTAAATATTGATATATACTATATTTGGTTCATGTTTTATAGGGTTTTTGATATCCGTTAGTCTAGCTTTGTATCTTTGTAATAAAGTAACAAAACAACTTTTACGTAAAATTAAAAAATACGAGCTCCTTCAACTAATCATACAAGGCAAAGTGGCTGGTAGAAGAAGACCTGGCAGACGCACGTCTTGGTTGAAAAACCTTAGACAATTGTTTGGCCAAAGCACCAAGTCGTGGTTTAGAAGTGCGGCATCCAAAATTAAACTAGCCATGATGATCGCCAACCTTCGCAAGGAGGTAGATATAAGAAGAAGAAAAAACTACTGAAGCGATTGGACCCATCCTACCACCATTAGTATTTACATTATCTCTGGACTATGGAGTGTCTACACGGCGTAAAACCTAGCTAAGGATTTGAAATAAAATAAAAACATTTTCAAAACAATTTTAAAACTAAATTGCCCTCTTGTCTTACCGCATCCACTATCTACAAACAATTGTAGGTCGTATCTCCCAGGGAAGATCCCCACCGGGAGTTGATTCCACAGTTCGCTAGTTCGCAAAAGAAACTGTCTTGTGAAGCGGGCCGTGGAAGACTTCCAGCCATCTGCATCAGGATGATGGGGATCTTCCCTGGGAGATACAACCAACAATTGTTTGTAGACAGTGGATGCTCCTCCGTCAAAGGCCAAAAATAGTTTGGTGCCCATAGCTTCGCCTGTTCGTTTTGGGCGTACCGTAGGCTCGTTTGCTATACTATAAAAAAATATTGGCGTTTCTAAATGGATTTTTTTATGTCGCTAGTCGCGGGCACATTCCGGCTGAGCTAGGCTCGCCAAAACAGGCCACGCTGAGCTGTAAAGGCCCTTAAGGCCAACAGCGAGATTCCTTTAAAAAAAATATTGTAAATGTACCCCTATACTAATTATACGCTGATGATGTCACAGAGTACTTATCAGAGCAATATTAAATCACAACTTAAATAGCAATTAAATTTATTGATTGAGTAGACGCAATTTCAAAGTAATCCGTTCGTCATTCGAAGCGAAATGTCGTAAACTTGGGCTTACGAAAAGGTTCTCAAGTGCTACGAAAAGCTCCGTCGTAAGCTTACTAGAAAAAGTTTTTGTTATTAATATTTATGAAAGCGTTATTACGATGAATAGTATTTCAATACACAATCAGCTTTGTCAAAATTAACAATTACTAATTATTTATAATAACAGTAGCGTAGTAATAATAAACTATTTAAACTTTACCTTAATGCATTGTCTTTAAAAATCGAAAAATCTTCCTTTAAAACTGCAACTTCTTGGAATTTCATTATATACTGGAAAGCTACGTTTGTATGTAATATTCCTGTCTTTTCTTAATTTTATTAATTCGCAAATAAACTATAAATCTAACACACTCTCAAACCATTCAGTTCAATAAATGTATCATATATTGATAAAATAATACCAACAAAGGTAGCTTCTGGATAACAATTCCATCAAACTCTTCGGCTATGAACTTTTAGGAACATACTAGGAAATCTTTGTATTTTAACTTCAGAACAGCTGCTTATTTAGCTCAAACAAATTGGCTGAATTGTATTCAAAAGATTTACTTCCTCATTGTTTCGGAAGCGGATTATTTCGGAAGTTATTCAAGCGTTGATTTATTTATGGATAATGCCTTTGCTATGAACAAATAATTTAATTGTACGCGGTACTTTTCATACAAATTTTGCAATTTGTTTAATTGATACAAACAATGCTTTTGTTCTGAATATGCTCGGATAAGTTAACAAAAACGTGTTAACATAATATTCATTATTTATTCAAAGGTGAAATGTATTAACAATGAATTTCTTTGCTTTTGTGTTTTTATTTGGTACAAATGTATTTGTATATTTTATTCGTGTAGCCAAATTTGTATAAAAATAGTTTGATTAAAAAATAGTTAATAAAATTAGGTGACGTCATTAGTACCTATCCTTTTGTGAGCAATTAAAGTACAGGAGACAGTAGAACGAGAGAGGGAGCGCTCTAGCACGAATCCAAGTTAGAAGACGCGGAGCAAATAGGAGAAGATATCTCTTACCTCCTACTAGTGCATACTGCACCAGAGGTTTCGGGTGTAACAGTTATGCCGTTGAGGCCTCGGTAGAATGCAAGAGCGATCCCGAAGCCGCTGTCACGCGGCTTTGGAACTACTCGAGTTTCAGTGGGTATTGCTCACCCATTTTCTGAATAGCAGAGATTCTGGTGTGAGTCGAGTTCCACAATCCCCAATCCCACGATCCCCAACCTTTTGGTTGGGGAACATACGAAAATTGCATATCCACCTCAGATATAAAGAAAAAAAGAGCGTACAAAGTACACATGTCAGAAGTGAAACTTCTTTGGAAAACTAGTTTTTAAGTCTTGTTCATATTTATACAAATCTAAAAATTTCCGAGACTTAGAGGGAGGGACAAAGGAAGATATGTTAGGTATTTAATGAATTTAAATGTCATTCAAATATTAAAAATTAATAGAAATTATAAATTTAATTTTTAGAATTTATTTCTTCGATAATAAAAACACGTGGTATTTTAGTTTACAATTCGTCATTTGAGATTTCAATAAATTATTTTTCATAAAATATAACAATTCCCTTTACGAAATTTTAATTTTAAAAATAGAATTTCTATAAGGTAATTCACCCTTCTTACTCTCTCTCCATCGGTCTCAATCGCTCTCTCCCTTTTCTTCGAGTCAACGCTGCACATCTTCGTGACGTTTTCGTAAATATTTACCCTCATGCGCCTAAAGAAGTTTCACTTCAAAAGGTGTTGTCATAGGTATCTGAACCTCTAGGAACCTATGTGTCTAAATATACATACACAGATTATTTGTAATTAGTTATAGATAATGATTGTTTCCTAAATATCATATTTCAGAAAGCACAGGTCTGTTTCATTTAACTTATAGGTTATAAGTTTAATGGCGTAGTCTTGCTCTTTCGCGAATTTTGTAAACGCTTTTGACATTCATAAGCATGCAAGACGCAACTAAATTGTATAAACGTATTTTGATTTGATTTGAATGAAACAGACTGAAATGTGCCGCATGCTTGAGTAGATGTCGTGAATATTTAAAAGGACCACAGAACATTGTAGCCAAATTGCAAACATTGTCTGAAGTTTGAAGTTAAAAATAGCCTTCACTAATCTGTGGAATAACAGACTGAACGCATCGACCGTAAAATAAGATCGAATACCGCACAAAAGCTTAGATATCAAAGCATTCTCCAATGCAGGGCGATTACAATTCGTCACGTACACTCGTTAACATCTGTTCACGTCACACATTGTGCGATTTCTTTCAAGGACTCGATTAAAGATGGCGGTAGCTGATTTAATTAAAGTCTTTATTAGTAGTAATTGATCTTCTGATTTTTATTCAAATCAATGTATTCCTTTTTATAAAGAAACATTCTTATGTTGTGTAGATACATAAATTGATTAATTTTCTAGTCTGTAGATTAATATTGACGCAAGACTAATATTAAATATTAATTCAGATTAATAATTGATTTCTAGTTTACACAGGGACTCCCTAGTGTGGGGACTAGCGATAGATGAATTTTGTCACAACCTATTTGTCATGAAAAAAGTTTTTATTATTATTTAATTTAAACTTTCTGTTTTTCTGCAATTGTTTAAAGAGTTCGTCTTTAGATTACATTTAGTGAATTTTTAATGAATACAATATTGCTAGTACCAAATTTTTTAGTTTCAAACTGGCTTTGCTTTAATGAATAAAAATTATAGTATATAAAAAACAGTGGCTTTTCATAAAATTCCATCTTTCTTGCAAGATACATTCATTACTCCCTTCTATGTAGAAAATACTACTCTTCTCGATTTGAAGGCAGTTAATAAAAAATAATATAATACACCTAGATTTGCATTGTTGTATTTTTTAAATAAAAAAACATAATTACGCAGTACTATAGAGAAACATAATACCCCTTTATTGCAAGTTTAAGCTGTATATATGTCGCAGCCAACTAGCATAATAAGCCGTTCAATCAACAGCCTAGCTACTTTACTTAACAGCGCAGCTTAACTAGCGGCCTAAATGATATCAGATATTTAAATAAACAGCTAGGCTAATATAAAATAGCTTGAATCGATGACGTTTCATTACTTTTCTTGCTTGTTTATTTCAATTTAAATCCACTTTCTGTCACCTAGCGCCTATCAATATAGCGTCGCTCATGATTTCCAAAGAACAATCAAATGTTTCATCTTTTTTATTTCTGTTACATTGTGGTAGGGGAGCCCAAGAGGGGATTTCGGGATTTACTAAAGCGCGGCAGATTACTATATAGGGGGATACCTTGTACCCGGTTAAGTACCTCCACAAAATATGAGGCCCATATATAAGGCCGCGCGTGAAGGAGACAGGATCAGATTAGTAAAAAAAAATTGACCATCAGAAATTCCCGAGCGCGTCAGATTAAGGTAGGGTGAGTTAATTACATCCTAAAAAGTGTATATTCCACTAATCTGACAATTTGAGAGTGACGGAAAAAAAGGGAGGGCAACAAAGTTGTAAAAAAAAAACGTCATCTCGACATTCTCGAGCGTAGCTAATTTTTCTTTTATTTTGAAGGAAATAATTCCAGAATAATGAAAAATATATAATCTGACGATTTCCGCAAGCCGAAATAACAAAAATTCGTCGATAAAGTTAAATGCGTGCAGCTGCGTGATGCCTACATTTCCTTAAACCGATCGGAATCTACTAAACGGCGTTCAAAATATTTCCCTCAAAATTACATTTCCTGTGAATTTGAACCGATTCGGACCGATAGATTTTGA